TTGGGCACCCCGGGCAGCGCCCGCTGCGCCCGGCCTTGGGACCTTCGGAGCGCCGGGGCGTGCCCCGCGCCCCGCCCCGGCCTCGCGATGAGCTTCTTCGGGTTCGGGCAGAGCGCGGAGCTGGAGCTGGTGCTGAGCGACGCGGAGAGCAGGCGCCGGGCGGAGCACAAGACGGAGGAGGGCAAGAAGGAGAAGTACTTCCTCTTCTACGACGGCGAGACCGTGTCCGGGAGGGTCATCCTGACCCTCAAGCACCCGAACAAGCGCCTGGAGCACCAGGGCATCAAGGTGGAGTTCATTGGGCAAATTGGTAAGACGGGGAAGCCCAGGCTGGTTGCCCTTGCCCGGAGGCGGGCCCGGTCCCTTCGCCCCTCATCGCGGGTGTGGGCGACGCCGCATGTCAATGCACCGTAGGCCAGGTGGAAGTACAGGCAGTCCTCGTTTAGCGACTGCCTTGCAGTTACGACAGTGATGAAAAAGAGACTTTACGACCAGTCCTCACATTTACGACCTTTGCAGGTCTGTAAAGCGAAGGAGAGCCCAAGTCAGGTAGTAAGCACCGTCCTGGTTTCACTTAGTGACCGAGTTGCCAGTCCCAATTGTGGTTGCTAAATGAGGGCCAGGACATTGCCGATGGATCCCAATTACGTCAACCCATCCCGCCTGGTCTGGCAGGAAGGGTATGTTACGGACCCCGTTGCCCAGAGAATTGCGACTGGTGGGGTCCAGGAGTGGAGCCTTTTCTGCTGTGGCTCCCGCCCCCTGGAACATCTTGCCCCCCCGAGGTGAGATCAGCCCCCACTCTGTTGGCCTTTCGAAAGGGCGTCGAGACCTGGCTCTGCCAACTTGCGTGGGGACCTAACGGGAGTTGCAGCACTGGGAGCGGTTGGTAGCCTGAGGCTGCTTTTTCTACCTTTTTAATGTTTTAATTTTAACCTTTTGTAAATTTTAACTTGTACATTTTTGCTAAGATTTTACAGTTTTTTACCTGTAACGCCGCCTAGAGTCACTTATCCACTGAGATGCGAGGCATGTATAAATTGGATTAATTAATACGTAAATATCTGGGGGACTCCTTTTGGAACGATGGGCGGTAGTCCAAACTACTGAGAACAGGTTTGGGTGTCTACTGACATACGAGTCCAAGGGCATTGCTTAAACTTGGTAATTGGGATGTTTACAGTCCCAGAACAGTTTACTTTTAGGGTAGAAAATCCCCTTTGCTGTTGGGTTAAGTTGGGGTGAAATTTAAGGGAAGGTTTGGGGTAGATTTTTATGATGACTGGCAGTCTTATTCTCACTACAGTAAGGGTAGCTTGCTAAGGCGTTTTACGGCAAAACCTTTTTTTTCTCTTAGAGTCAAGTCAAGGTTAGAGTATGGCTTCCTTGTGGACTGTGGTCCAGTTTGGTATGGGGATTAGCTTTAAGGTGAGTTTTTATGATTAGCGGTAATCTTAATGTCATCCTGCGATGGAAATTGCTTTCTGAGAAAATGTTCAGGCTAAAACGCGGTTTTTCTGTTGGGTTGCACTAGTGTTTAGACTTTGTGGAGTTGTATAGGTAAATTTAGTAGGAATGTAAACTTTGGGTGAGTTTTTTGTCTTATGGAACGATGCTCCCTAAGGAGAGTTTTAAGGCAAAAAAAAAAAAAGCTTTCGGGGGCTGAATTTAGGGATAGGACTCAATGATTTCTGTGGTTTAGTTCTTTGTGAGGATTACCTGCATGGTGAGTTTCGATGGTTAGGGCTAGTCTTAAAGTCATTTTATAGAGGAAACTGCTTTCTGGATTAATGCTTAGGGGGAAAAATGCTCTTGGCGTATCAGTGGAAGTTGGCATATTTAGGCAGTACTTACATTTAGAGTTACAGGTATTATTGGGGTGCTCTTACATTTACGTTGTGGTAGGAATTGCTTGCTTGGAAAGACTTTAGGGTAAAAAGATACTGCTGGTAGAAAGGTGAGGTTAACGTTATCTTGGGGTTCCTCGGAATACAGATTAGCTTCAGGGTGAGGTTTTATGATTAGTGATAATCTTAATGTCATCTGTCACAATTGGGTATGAGTGTTCAGTTAGTAAGAAACCAGGGCAAGTTTATTGTATAATGATCCTGGATCTTGGCTAATATATATTTATCTCTTATTTTGGTGAATCCTTCCCTTGGTTGAGTCTTTGGGTGTGTTTGTCAGTTTACGTTCCTAGTTCTGACATTTCAGGGTATAGGAATTCCCTGTTATCCAAGAAGCTTGATCATAATTCATGCTCCTTGGAGCCTGGTTTGATAGCGCCACCAAGGCTGATTAATTATTCCTTCTGTTAAAATTGCCACATTATGTTTTAGGAGAGCAGTGTTTCTGCTCTAGAAACACTGAGAGAAAGGTTTCTCTCTCAAACACTTGAGAAAGGTTTCTCAACCGTGGCAACTTGAAGATGTGGGGACCTCAACTCCCAGAATTCCCCAGTCAGCCATGTTGATCATTATGGTGTATAGGAAGTGTCATTTATTGATTGGTCTACAGTATTGTTTTATTGTAATATTGGTTTATATTGCCTAAAATATTAAATAATTGATCTCACAAGGATTTTGTACAGGTAGTCCTCAATTAACGATCACTCGTTCAGTGACCAAAGTTGTGATGGTAAATGTATGATCAAAGTTGTGGCCAGTACTTATGACCAGTCCTCGAACTTCTGGCCATCACTGCCCCCATGGTCACGTGATCTTGATCCAGGCACCAGGCAACCAGCTCACACTTATAACTGTTGCAGCATCCTGTGGATTTGTGATCACCATGTGAAGTTTACAAGTTGCTCCCACCTACCTTTTTCCCAGATACATCCTGCTATGGAGTACGAGATCTCAGGGACCTAATGTAACCGCAGAATCTCCAAGGGATCTTGTACTTGTAGCGTGCATTCATGCCACAGCACCCATTCCCCTGCCCAGCCGCACTCACGCAGTGCCGTAGCACACCTCCCCTGCTGAGCTGTGATTGTGTGGCACCACAGCACCCCCTCCGAAGCCCACACGCAGTTGCCACAATACCCCCCTGCTCCTTCGCTCCATAGTACTCACCCACCTTCTGGCCTGCTTGTGAGCCACTCAGACTTGCAACTTCCTGCCAGCTTCTCCATTGACTTTGCTTGTGGGAAACCGGCAGGAAGTCACAAGTCGTGGTCAAATTAGGTCCTCGCTTAATGACCTGCATTCCTCACTTAATGACAGCAGTGGGGACTGCTGGGATTGCCGTCGCTAAGCAATGCAGTCAGGTGACATCGCGCTTTACAACCGCATTGCTTAGAGACAGAAATTCCAGTCCCAATTACCGTCATTAAGCAAGGACTACCTGTATCCATTTTCGAAGCTCATCAGTGTGTTGCTCCGTATTTTTTTGATCTTGGATCTGAGTGTTTATGCCAAGTACCTATTAATTAATCTTGAAAATACCAGCTGGCAATTTTGAATCTTACGCATAGCCTGAGTGCAAATTTGCTGAACTTTTCCCAGAAAATTTTCTTTACCTGTTTTTTTATCAGTGAGAACTGGAACGCTCCAGGATCTTTGTTTGATTCTACTTCACCCTTCCAGATAGACTATTTAAACATCTTAACTGGGCAGCAGTAAATGGCTATTAATGGCTTAGATCAATGTTTCTCAACCTTGGCAGCATTCAGCCTTGCTGGCTGGGGAATTCTGGGAGTTGAAGTCCACCCATCTGAACGCTGCCAAGGTTGAGAAACACTGGCTTAGATGGTGGGTATATGTTGTTTTGGGAAAAGTCATAGCTCAGCTGTAGAGCTTGTGTTTTTGCGGTCAGGGTTTAAAGCTGGGCAGTCCCACGTAAAAAAAAAAAAACAGACAGGAAAGAATTCTGCTGCGAACTTCAGAAAGTGGTTGCTAGTTCAAACCGATCCAGATAGATGGAATAGTAGTGAATTTTTTTAACTGTAATCGAAAATTCTGAGCTGCTCAGATGGATGAAGTGTACAAGGTTCGATTTAAAAGTGCAAGCAACCTTTTACTTAAAGCTTGCTTTATTAAGATGCTGTGTATTTTAAGATACAACGGCTCGGTTGCATTTGACTTCCTTTGCATTATTTACACAGCACTCTGGATTCCCCGAGTAAACGGTGTCCTGGCACGCAGAGGACAGCCATTGGCAGCGCCTGAGATCAAAATATCTGTTTTCTTTTTTGCGGTTCAGAAGGCCATTTTTATATATTAGCTTCGAATTGCATCCATTCCTACAACCTAAGTTGTAGTTGCTCCTTGCACTACTAACTGGTTTTGTGTGATCTTGCAAGTCCCTCAAGACCTGGCTGTGTGATCAGGCCTGGGGCTCCCAGGGGACCAGGGAGATTTTGCAATGGCTCCCTTATGAATTTTATCCCCCCCTATTTTGTGTTTTTACAGTTTTTTTATTTGTAATTGTTTTTATGTATTTATTCTTTCTAATTGTTTTATGCTGCCCAGAGTAACCTTGTATGAGATGGGTGGCTATATATAAATATGATAAATAAATAAATAATACCCACCCCATCCCCCAAAACCTGGAAAAATATCAGCAGGGCAAAATAGTTTAGTGGAAAGTTTTCTGCAAAATAATTCTGTTTTTTTTCCACCCCCACATTGTTTCTCAAAGGGGTGGGGTGTCATGATATTGTCACTCTTAATCGAGAGTATGTCATTCCTAGAATTGTACTACGACCGAGGGAACCATCATGAATTTGTGTCACTGGTGAAGGATTTGGCCCGTCCTGGCGAGTTCACCCAATCGCAGACATTTGACTTTGAATTCACCCATGTTGAGAAACCGTACGAGTCCTACACTGGGCAGAATGTGAAGCTAAGGTGAGTTCCAGTCTCACTAGTGGATTTCTGTACTCAGATCTTTCTTTCTTTTCTTCCCCCCGTAGATGAACCTGATTGGAGGCGTCTTAACCCACCTTTTCCCCTTTCACAGGTACTTCCTCCGTGCCACGGTGAGTCGCAGATTGAATGACGTGGTGAAAGAGATGGATATCGTGGTGCACACGCTTAGCACGTATCCGGAGCTCAACTCCTCCATTAAGATGGAGGTGGGAATTGAAGATTGCTTGCACATTGAGTTTGAGTACAATAAATCCAAGTAAGTTGCTTATCCTGCACTTCCCGGGGATCTGTTGGGCATCCCTCTCTTGGATGTGTGTGGTGATGTAGCCAAGGAATTATTCTTTCCTTCTTCAGCCTGCTGTCCTTGGAACGTGTGGAGTTGAGGTCCTACGTGTGCCAGTAACATAATTATCCATACCAACTAGGGATAATAGGAATTGGAATCCAAGGTACCAGACTAGGATTGGGTGAAGACATATTAGGTCAACGGGAAGCCTGTTGTGGAGACATCCTTGTCTAAGGCAGTACCCAGGTGGTAGAACACCATGCCCAGAAAATCCATCTGTTCTTTACATTCATTCAGTGTTTCCGAATCTTGGCAGCTTGAAGATGGGTGGACTTCAACTCCTAGAATTCCCCAGCATGCTGGCTGGGGAATTCTGGGAGTTGAAGTCTACCCATCTTCAAGTTCCCAAGGTTGAGAAACACTGCATTCGTTGCTTTTTTCCTTTTTTTTTAGGTTTCATTGATAATTGATTACTTGTTTGGATAATCCCTTTCCTTCTTCCTTTCTCAGTATTATTTATGCAAAACTTTGGATTCCTACTGAAAACAGTGTAGAAGCTTCCAAATGTGTGGGAAGAGAACCCCCATTGTGCCCAATATGTCTAGGCTGGAGAAGTCATTGCTTTATTTGCCTGTCCCTTTATATATTTGTTTTTTCCACGTATGTTAAACACCTGTTGTGAGCCCCTTGGGATTAAAAAAATAAATAATTGCAACAATATGACTCCGGTAACTTCCTGAGCCAATCATTCTCTTTCGGTCCAGTGTCCCTTTCAGAGTTGTTGTAATGGGGAGAAGTTGGAAGAGGACTTACATTCCCTCTGCAGCCTTGAGCTCCTGCAGGAAAGGAGGATGAAGATCCAGCAAAAGATTAAAATAAGGCCTGTGAAGGGAAAAGGTTCTCTGGTCCTCTGACCTCATTCCCTGTTGATCAACCATCTCTTCCAGGTATCACTTAAAAGACGTGATTGTAGGGAAGATCTACTTCCTCCTTGTCCGGATCAAGATCAAACACATGGAGATTGACATCATCAAGAGGGAAACCACAGGCACAGGGCCCAACGTTTACCATGAAAATGACACCATTGCCAAATACGAGATCATGGATGGGGCCCCGGTGAGAGGTGAGGCGGAAGAGCTGTCTCCCTGGGGGACCTTTCAAGGGCTTTGTGACCTGTGGTGGGGAGAGAGAAAGCCACGCCCCACTTGCTCCCAGGTCTTGTTTGTGGCACGCCCCGGGGAATATACGAGGCGGCCGGATGGGGTATGTTCCCCTCCTTGAGTTGTATCTATTAAAAAAGGTTATATATAAAATACAGTATAACATAGACATGTGGATAAAATATAGTAGCCATAATAAGAATAATAATAAAGTAATAATAAATAAATAATACAATTAAAATATAGATATTTAAAAGCTTATGTTTAAGATTTTACTATTTTAATCAAAATTATTAATGAAACTGCGTATTAAAAATAAATAAAATTAAGAGAGCCAATAAAAATAGAATAACATTAAATAAAAAATAAAACAAAACCAATAATAAAATAACAATATAATACATAATAAAATAAAATAATAATTAAAACCATACACACACACACACATATATATTAAAAAAAGGCAGGATAAAAAAAAAATAGTAATAATAATCTGTTGGAAACCTGCGTCATGCTTCCTCTGCAGGAGAATCCATTCCTATTCGGCTCTTCTTAGCTGGTTACGAACTGACGCCCACCATGAGGGATATCAATAAGAAGTTCTCGGTGCGCTATTACCTCAACCTGGTGCTAATTGACGAGGAAGAACGACGTTACTTTAAACAGCAGGTGAGAAAACTGAGCGCTCTTCAGGTGGAT